GTTGATTTCACTATGAGAAAAATAATATTATTTATAAATACTAAAAAAAGGTCGTTATTTAGCCAATTCTTGTATTTATAATATCTTAAGTACATACTTAAGATATCATAAATCACACAATTATAGAGAATAATATTAACATTTTAAAATATCATTTAAAATTATCTTGAAATAAGAATGGATGGCTCAGATTCTACAAGATAGAGCACTATTAATATTTCGCTAATTAAACATATTAAATAACTTGAAAGAAATTATGTAGTGAATTAGTAAATCTAATTTTTTATTTTTTAAATTTACAATTTTTGTAAAGACTTGTAAAATGCTTCAAATTCAAGATAAAATCAATTGAATCTTCTTCGAAGATAGGTGATTATTCTAGAAAAATTTATGTCCATCGCATTTTAATTGTTTAAGAGAATAATTCTTACGTTCCAGACATTGATCGCATCTCTTAGTTATAAATTTCATTTCTCTATTTTAACTTCTGTGGGTATACCAGAGTGTTAAGAAAGTGCAATTACAATCACTTTATATAACTTATATTTCTATACTTTATGTAACAAATGCATGTAAAGTGCAATAATTAGTTTATTGAGACATTTTTCCTTAACATGAGATAGCATATCTACTTCTTATTATTGTTAGACCATGGGCAGATATTAGTGCCAATGTGTAAATGCATATATAGGATAAGTAAGAAATTATCGACAAATTCTCTATTAAAAAGTTTTTTAATGCAAGGACCACTGTAACAATTTTGAGAGTGGATCAAGATGAATTTATTAAAATAATTGTTAACTTTTATCCCGACGACATGCGCATTGTATATACAAAATTACTTACTTAACACTTAATTAAGGTAACAGAGTATTGTTAGAAAGAAGATATTGTGACCCAGTAGAGTTATGAAATTATGACAAGTGTACTCTCTTTCACCACTATTTGTTGAGTGTATTATAAATAAAGCTCTATGTTTTATTAAGGTTGAGTATTTATATGAATCTCAAAAACTATCCTGCTTGCTATGTGCAATTATATGCAGGGATAGTAAACAAAACAAAGTCTATAAGTAATGAATTGCTATCACACATTTTAATAAAAAAATATGTATAAAATACAAAATACAAAATATGTATAATATATACTACGAAATATTAGAATTTTCTATTTCTTTAATTTTGTCTTTTAATAAAAATCTAATGCTTACCTTCATCCAAAAAAGAAGATAGAAATGTATTTTACAGACAATAGAGAGAATCATGGCATATACAGTCAAACAAGATCTTGAACTTATTTTTGAATTTTAATTTATTTTAGATAAATTCAATAAATCATTTCCAAACCTTTAGAAATGTATTTATTATATACGTAAAAATATTTCTTAAAATACATAACACTGTTATATTAAGAATTCTCTGTTTCCTTGAATCTGCAAAGAAGATGATTTATACATTAACAAGATGTTACAAGCAACAGAAAAGTTTAATATAAAAAGTATAATGGCTGTGTTTGCAGAATTTATTTTACAACTGTTGGCCACTTCATATTGAGATTGAATTATTCTTTTAGATTTAAAAGTATATTCCAATCTCAATACAAAAATTTTCAATAATTATAAGCATTCTGCTATGTTACCAATATCTCGATACGATGTTAATAATATTGTTATACATGGATACATACTTGCACTTGGTACATGTATAAAATACAGTTTGCCCTTCATCAGCAGATCTCAATTGCAATGTGGCATAGGACATCTTATCATTTTGACATTGAGGACATCGTCGTTCTACGACTGGTCCCTCTGCATCATCATCGCTGTCATTGGCTTCTTTGGCAGATGCATAAGTATGTTTAGTATTAAAAGGAATCGTATGTGTCATTTCCATATTGCCGAAAACTTCTATTACAGAAGAAGCTAAAAATAAGATTAGAAACTAATTAATATATATATATATATATATATTTATATTATTATTTATATTATTTA